TTTTTTCATGCCTTTTCCATCTATCAGCAGGTACGTGACACTGCTGATGGCTTTTATAGGTGCCGATTTGCAACTGCCGCTTTACTTTGAAAACGCTTTTTGAAAGATCCGGTGTAATTGAGCTTCGGAGATCTTTCCAAAGTAGCGCCATTTAGATTTCAGGGAGTCATTTTCAACTAGGCCTATCTGAAACTGTTGCTAATCCACTCTTTTTAATCACACATGAAATTAGGCTCTCAGACGACCGCCAGAGACCCCTGGGATGGCTGAATGGAGACTGAATGGTCAATCAACAATAGTAAGTGACTTGTTTGCTCAGAGAGAGAGTCCAATGTTGTATGTGCCACAAATAAACAAAGAAACAAAAAAAACTAAATAAAATACATTTTAAAAAGAAATAAATAATATTGAAATTAATATATATTTTCTTGAAATTTAAGGTACTGAACCTTTTGTAAATAAATACATAAATACCTTAATTTTATTTTATTACCCCTTTAATAAATAAGTTAATTAATTTAATTAAAATTTTACCATTTTTAAAGATTATTACCCCTTTAATAAATAAATAGATTCAGTAGTACAATTTTTTTTAATTATTTTTTTTTTTTTTATGTTTACCCTTCATAACTAAATGAATAAATTTCCTTTAACCAATGTAAATAAAATAAAAAATATAAATATTATATATAGTATATATTATATAAATAAAAAATTATATATTTTTTTTAAAGCAGAATGAAATTTTATTTTAATCTAAAATCAGATATCATAAAACTGTCTGATACCATCAATATCAAGTTGTCAATATCAATACTTGTGTTAGTCGGCAGTAACACACTGCATTCTTATTAAATCTCTGATAAAACTCAGCTTTTGAGGTGTCAGAAATTAGCAATAGTAAATAAATCATTATTATTTAAAATGCAATATTCGTACTCTTTCTAGAAGTCAGAACAATCATAAATGCAATGGCAAAGTAGCAATCTAGATTCTTTCATATTGACTTCACTGAGCATTTTTTTGTTGTTGTTGTTGTTGTTGTTACATATAGAGTTAAATAAGAGGGATCTGGTATGCTGTTCATATTCTGGCCATGCATTATGACATTCCATTAGCAAAATAAAAGAATAGTGCTGCTAATACAGAAATACCATTATTGAGAGTACAAAAAAAGACAATTAGCGTAATGGATAGGCTTGATGAAAACAAATGAGCAACACTAAGGGTACTCGATTACTCTGATGCACAACAAACAAAAGACTACAACATGGATGGATCTCATCCACCTGTGATGCCAACAAATACTATTTCACATTAGTTAGTGGCCCAAAAAAAGTTTAAAATCGCATGGTAGCTATTGCAAATTCTGTTAGTCTTTTTCTCAGGACCAACTTAATTTTTTTACATCCAAGGTGATTTTTAGAGGACGTATGAAATGAGTTTTCCCTCAAGTACACACAAGTGCCATACTAGAATCTTAACTGTTGTTTTAACTTAACACATTTCACAAACACAGGTGTTAGCTTTTATGGAAAGGGTGCTTATTTTATCTTTCTTTAAATGCAACTTGATTATATAAAATGACTAAGTTTTCCAAATACATTTGAGGGCCACTGTAAATCTAAAAATGAGTAATATTCTAAACAATAAATGCATAATTATACACATTCATTTAGACACTGTTAAATGAAAAAGCCTCTGTAATAAACTATGCTAGCACAACAAAAGAAATTAACTTCTGTTTAAGCTGTAGTCCCAGTATGCAAGGAACCTTTATTGTTTGCATAGTGTATAATTAAATAATTTCTGTCCTCAAGTTCTCAGGAGTGAACAAATCATGGTCGTAATACTAAATATAAGCACTGCTTAATAAGTAGAAGTGACAGTTGTCACACTTTTTACTCTAGAGAATAGGGCTGCACAATTAATCGAATTTCTAATCGCGATTACAATTATGGATGCCACAATTACGTATTCGTTCAAAGCGGCAATTAATCGTTCAAAGTCCACTTATGTTATTCTGCGTGCTTAAGATGCGTTTTTTTTCTTTCTACATGATATCTTAAGGGTTTTTCCACTGTTTTAATTTTAGTTTTAGTGTAACATTATAATACCATTCGTATTTTTACTTTTTTTATAATTTAAAGAAGAAACTAATCCGATGTATAGTTGACATTTGAGGCTTAATACTATAGAAAAGCACTAAAAGTTTTTCAGTTAGAGTGTTTTCAGCTTGTTTATTTTCATATAAAAATACGGCATGAAGTTGCATCAAACAATGGTATAAACACCATTCAATGTAAATGTAAATTGTGATAATCGTAATTAATAATCGCAATTTCAAGGGAATAATCGACAATTATGATTTCTGTCATAATCGTGCAGCCCTACTAGTGAATAATTCTTAGAAAGTCAGCCAATTTCTGTATAGACAAATACTTCAAAACTACAAAGTAGCTACTGAATGTAAAGAAATTAATACTTTTATTTAGCAAGGATGTTGTAAATTGGTCAAAATTGACAGTAAAGACATTTACATTGTTGCAGTCTTTTGAACATTCTATTCATCAAAGAATTATTGAAAAAAAAAACGTATCACAGCATATTAGAATGATTTCTGAAGGATCATGTGACACTGAAGACTGGAGTAATGGCTGCTGGAAATCCAGCATTGCCATCACAGGAATAAATTACATTTTAAATTATACTGAAGTATAAAATAGTTATTTTAAATTATAATATTTTTCACAATATTACTATATTTTAGATTAAATAAATGCAGCCTTGGTGAGCATAAGAGACTTAATAATCAATCTTCCAAAGAAATAATAATCTTCGTTGTAAACCATAAATCTTACCCCTGTTCTGACCCCAAACTTTTAAACGGTAGTGTGTCCGCCAACCATTCATAGAACACTACTGTATATGGGGCAAATTTTCACAATGGCAATGGGAAACTGCATTTAAATAGCTGACAGTATAATGGGCAATTTAACAGCTCTCAAGCCAGATTTAAACAAATATGAAGTATGTAAAATGGCAAAAAAAAAAGAGGCAGAAATTAGAAAATTGTAATTAATGAACTGCATTTATAAATATAAAAAAGTAACATTGCCCCGACCTGACATTTATGTAAAAATGTTTCTGTTGACTCGAAACCTAGTTAGTTGGATGTACCGCTGACCAGATGACAACTTCCCCATGTGACAACTTGCCCGGTCTCCTCCAAGATTTCAGTTGGCCTCTAATAGTAACATTGAAGCTTGTTAGCCTGAAGGAGGAGATTCGCCATCATTTGTAAATTGGTCAAGGTCGAGCGAATACAATAGAAGTGGGTTGATGACTCGTCTGGGAATGCCGACTAAAAATGTAGACCTCTTTTTCAGGAAAACTTTCAATCCTGCTCCTGAAGTACCCCACATCACATTTTGGGTGTCCACCTTTTGATTTACATCATGAACTCATTAGTAGAGGCTCCAAGACTGGGTGTCAAATAAGAGAAACACCCAAAATGGGCAGCACAGGACCAGGATTATGCCAAAAACTGGCCGAGTTACAGGAGCTGTCCAGCATCAGAAGGTGCTGAAATCTCTACAGCTACTGCACAGAATTACATTTTTAAAGCAAACAACTAGTCAAAAGCAAATAAGCGAGAAAGGACTTGCACACTTTAGAGACAAGCTTCCTGATCAGTGCACTCTGAATTTCCAGCTTAGATACAGGAAAAGGTTACCACTATCCCCTCTAGTGGCCTTACAAAGTGACTGGAGACAGGACTGTAAATGTGTCTCCCTGTTGAGCTCATACATCAGTTTCATACACTATTATGCAGTTTCCTTGATAGAATGCGATGGGAAAAAGTGAATCCGTCACAAAGCACTTTATAGAGTTGTCATGGCATCCCTTTGTAGGCAATTCCCAACAAAGAATCAATCATGAATCGGGTTTTTGTTCACCAAAACGTACTCTTCTGTTCTCACTGCAGCAGGAGCATTGACATTATTCAATGGGAATGCGATCTGTCTCGTTTTTTGCACATTTGTAGCTTAAATTATTGATATTATGTAATGAAAACAAATACAGACTGATGGTGTGTCCAGTGTTGAACCACAAGATGGCCCATATGAGGAAAACTTTTAGATAGAGAAAGAATAATTGTTGTCTTAATATGCCAAAACTAATAGCTTTTGCAATTCATGTCATTATTTGGCATCCAAAGCCGGTTGAAGACAACAACGTTAATGTTTCCTTTGCTCCAGGCGTTATTATTTAGTTGCTCAGATCAGCTGAGGGCCATTACGCAGCTCTCTTATTTATCCCAAAACCATCAGAGACCATCAAAAACACCATCATATAGCTATTACAACATTAATGTTTCCGTCTCTGTTTACTTATTCGACTTTAACCTTCTAATAGAAGCCAAACACTGGAACATCAGCCCAGAAATTAATGCAAAAATTAGATGTGACTTCAAAATCTCCATGCACTTGTTAATATAGGCTGGTATGTGACTTCGAACTCATGCAAAGCTTTTTTCTCCCTCTATCTCTCTCGCTCTCTTTAATAGCACAATGCACCTTTGACGAAGCTCACGAATGTGACAAAATTCCTTTTGGGGTTCCTGTCTTGAATACAAAGCAGCTTCTATAAAGACTCCTCTCTGTGAAGCCAAAAAACCAGATGCATTTAAGCTCAGATGTTGCAATTAATTGTCCCCAATTGTTTTTGTTTTTTTTACATTGATTATGTACTTATGTGTATATGGAGTAATCTGTTTCCTTTTTATTCTTGATTTAATATGGACATTCAATTGCAATCCAAGAGTATAATTGACATTTTCTATTAATTTAAGATCATTTTTAGCTACTGCCCATCATTAAAACCCTTCTAATCATCCCACACACCAACACAAAGCCTGGAGTGAGTGGGAGGCTGAGAGTTGATCTCAATGCACACATGGGCTCAACATGTGATGGACACTTGTGCGCTTGACTTACATGGAGGAGATGTTCTCAAACAGGTCTGGGAGGCTGCTAGTGGTATTCCCATCGCTCACTGTGTCCTGTAGTGCCAGGAGGGGGAAGAAATTCCCTTGGTGAGACTCATTGCAAAAGATGTTCGTGGTAGAACAACGGCAGGTCGGTGGGCAGTCTAGCATGGAGCTCATATAATCTTGGAAGATGCTGAGGAGAAACAGGATCCTCCACCAGCAAACGCGGGGTGGGATGGAGAATAAATCCATGTTTCCAAGTGCTTCCCTCAATGTTTTAGCTCCTCACTAATGTTCAACGGCAACGGGTATCCGTACGGTGATGCGAGAGCGCGCGCGGGTGCGTGGATGAGAGTGAAGGTATGTCAGATCAATGAGATCGCAGTAATGTCCCCAAGAAAAGAGGGGAGAAATACTCCGTCAATGTAGAAAGGGCTCAAAAATCAACGGTCCCAGGCTGGCCTCCTCTCCGGGCTGCATGGTACAAGCTTCCCCGTCTCCTCGGTGCTGTTTGTCGCGTAGTTCCAGGTTGTTGGATCTCTGGCTTGTAGACTAAAGCGTCAGAGCGCAGTCTAGTGAGAAACTTTAAAGGCGATTTTCTATATTTTTATTTATTTAAAATATATATATTTAATTTATTTATTTATTTATTTTTGCATCCTCAGATTCCAGATTTTCAAATTGTCTCTCCGCCAAATATTATCCTATCCTAACAAATCATACATCAATATGATAATTTAAACTTATTTATTCAGCTTTCAAATTATATATAAATCTCAATTTTAAAAAAAGACCCTTTTGACTGTTTTAGTGGTCCATGGTCACATATACCTACTCACTAATATCTGATTGAAGTAGGCTACTAAATTGCACTTTGAATATAAGTATATACAACTTCAGCATTTACAGTATGCTTTAGTGAACTATTTTACTGATTTACTGTGTTTTCTCAGGTATAATAATAATGATTATTTCTTTCTATCTATCTATCTATCTATCTATCTATCATCTATCTATCTATCTATCTATCTATCTATCTATCATCTATCTATCTATCTATCAACCATTAAAGTCTTGGCTACAAAAAGAATACAAAACCCCATCCATAAAAATACTTTTATTTTTATTTTTATTTTTAGATATCTCCAATAGATTCATACATGAACAACTAATCTGTTAAGCTTTATACGTCTGCTAACAAAACTTATTATGAAGCTTTACAAAAACAACATGAAAAAAATGAAATAGTTATATCTGATATCTTGGCAGCATGGTAAAATTGTCGTTTTTATAAGTACAAACTCCTCAGACTAAATGGGAAAAACAGCCCTTTGGGGTCACAATCATGAGCTCTTGTTCTTCTGCTGTGGAATCGTGTTTTTACTCAACTGTAAGCTGATCTCTGATGCTCCTGCTCTTTGAACTCTGAGTGGTTCAGAGTAAAAATGTCCTGCCCAACCATGGCCTCACACAATTAATGTGTAACCACTTAGCCATCTGCACATTCGACGCTAAATCACCAGCGCTGCGGCTGATGGCTTCATACATTGTAGCAGTAAGTTCTGCCATCACTTAAGCAGAAGATTTCTTGGAGTCCGAAAACAAGATCTATGAGGGCATTGGTTCCCTGTAGGCCACACTAAGTATGTCAGCCTTGTGTCTACACTCCTATCCACACCTAGGCACTTCTAAATCGGTATGGTGTATTTGAAGATCTACCCAACAAGGAATAACCAACATGCAAGAGACTGCACAGACATCACAAAGTTCTTGTTGACATCTATGGTTCTTGTCCTAAGGTATATTGGACTTTATTTGTCATGTGAGTGTCTGTGATTAACTGTGTCTGTACCGTCTGCAGATAAAGCTATACCTGCAAGGATGAAAGGATTTATGTGACATTGGTCGGAGATAAAAAAACGTAAACAGTATGCAGTTGTTCACCTTGACTGATAGTAAACTCATATCTTACGACTGCATGTGTGAGTACATAACATAATTTATGGAGTGAGAAAACTATTTATACATACTGCAAGCCCATAGATGTAGGTCAACATAATGATATTTGTGAGGGTTAATGAAGAAATAGACAGGCTGATCAGGACCAGTTTATTATATGAATACTATTTATTATAATATAATAAAGAAATACAATCAATAACTTTTTTGTTACAGGTATTACAGGCATTTTAGTGATATGTGATGATGTGTCATATATAAATAGTAATACACCCACCTGTCTGAGCTATTAAACAAATGTTAATAAAATGTAAACAAACGTAATAGTCCAAGGAGGAACTTTTTTTTTAATTTCCCCACAAATTACAAGACCAAAAATATGCCATAATAAAATAGTCTTATATATATATTTACACTTATTTATATGCGTTTCATCATGCAATAATAAAGTAACTTTTTACACAACACAAGAAAATTACGCTTTTACAGTAAAAGTATATAAGAATGAAATATGTAATTTAAGTCCAAACAGCTGATAAAAACATCACAATAATCCACAAGTAATCTACGACGTCAGTCCACCAGTTATTATGAACTCATATTTTGTCAAGAAGCAACAGTTTAAAACATCTTAATGATGCATTTGTTTATTACAAACACTCAGCTTTTCACTACACAAGATGTTAGTTGATGGACTGGAGTGGTGTGGATTACTAGTGGATTATTGTGACGTTTTTATCAGCTGTTTGGACTCTCATTCTGACGGCACCCATTCACTGCAGTGGATCCATTAGTGAGCAAGTGATGTAATGCTAAATTTCTTCAAAACTGATCTGATGAAGAAATGAACTCATTTACATTTTGAATGGCCTGAGGGTAAGATCTCAGCAAAATTTCGTTTTTGGGGTGAAACATGCCTTTAAATTAATATAGAGTTTTTACAATCCTTTTAGTTAAAATATTATTTAAAATACTGGTGCATTCTTTTATTTATGCAATTAGTAGAACAAACACATCCTGTTTCAATTTTAGTGTGGAATGTGTTATATCTGTTGAGACGCACCGTGGTCTGTAACACCAGAAAGAAAAGAACCCCATCCTTCCCTTCACAATCTCATTTCTACAGCTCTCTCTTCCTTTTTTTCTGTGACATATTAGACATTTCTGGGTCTCCATAAACATTACAATGGGACACATTTCTCATTAAAGTTATCATATAATGAGTAATGATGACTGGCACCAGTATCTATTGTTTTTGAGAGTGCTGTAATCCAAAAAAAAAAACTTTTACTAGACAGCAAATGTTCGCACTGCAGAGAACAGAGGAGGGAATGTGTAACAGCGAAAAGGATTTACTTTTTCAACAAATTGTATTGATTTTATTTTAAGCATTGTTAATCGCTTAATTAAAATGTTGAATATGCCATTAGCATTAGTATTGACAGGACTTAATATAGAAGCACTGAACTGGCATGGAGACAAAGATTACATTTCAATTACATATTTTAATTTCAAACTGATTCAATAACACTCAAACATTGTTGGGCAAGGGTTTTCAGCAAGGCCTGCTATTTACAGTTATCTCAAACTGACTTTTGTGAATTTTTTTTATTTTTTATACAATATTCCTTATCCGAAATTAAAGGAACAGTTCACCCAAAAAAATAAAATTTTGCTAAAAGTTTACTCATCTTCAAAGCCATTCAAGATGTAGATGAGTTTGTTTCTTCATCTGAACAGATTTGAGTCCTCTATCCATAAAATTGCTTTCTCCAGTGGAAAAGCTATCTGTATCTGAATCAGGAGAGAAATATGCACTATGAAATTAAGCACAGTTTACAAGTGAAACAGTCGAAAAAGTTCTAAACAAGTATGTCGGTGGGTTTTGACATGGCGGATGTAGAACATTCATTCATTCATTCATTTTACATTCAAGAACCTTTTTTTAGGAGTCGTGAAGTAAGTTCAAGTCGAAATGTAGTACCTACTCAAACAGTGTACACAATTTTCGGATGCACCGATGGATATTTTGGCCAATTTAATATTAAAACACCTTAATGATGTGTTTGTAAGAAGCAGCTTTGCGTTAATTGATTGACTTGAGTCGTGTGAATTATTGTGATGTTTTCATCAACTCTCATTTTGACGGCACCCATTTATTGCAGAAGACACATTGGTGAGCAAGTGATGTAATACTAAATTTCTCCAAATCTGTTCTGATGAAGAACCAAACTCATCTACACCTTGGATGGCCTGAGGAGGAGTAAATTGACTGGCAATTTTTATTATTATTATTATTATTATTATTATTATTATTATTATTATTATTTAACAAAAAATTATTATTATTATTATTATTATTATTATTATTATTATTATTATTATTATTATTATTATTATTATTATTATTATTATTATTATTTAACAAAAAGCTGAAAAGCAAAACATTGAAATAAATGTTTTGTTGTCTCTCCCACAGTATAATGTTTCAAAAAAATTAAAATGACTTGCAAAGCCATTAAAATAATCATTACTGATATGCATTTATCATAATGTTAATATAACACAATATGCATGTTATTATAGGCCAGTATTATAAGCAACACTGTTTGATACAATATGTACCAGAGGTTCTCTATGCACCAAGGTATCCTTAGCCTGAAGTGTTTCAGTGTGTAAGTATTACACAAACATAGTTTAATACAGAAACATAATGCTATTAAAAATGAAAATGATGCAATATGACCCATTTTAATGTAGTAGGCCACTAAGACAAATGGAAGAATAGTACTATGAAATAGTACTTCAGCTACAAATAACCACAGCTAAATGCAGGCACATCAAGCCTCACTTTGTTTTCCCCACAATCGCCAATGTGGTCACACGATAAATATTTGATGCTGAATCACTTAAGCTTCATCCTACACTAGCTTACCCCAATTTGGCCCCATTCTGGTAGATGAGCAAACATGTTAAAAGCCCTGGTTAAAACAGCAAGCAATAGCACACATACTGGAAGCAAGTTATCATTTAATACAGAAGCACTACCCCTTCCTGCGGAAATTAACCTTATCTAATTTACAGAGAAGCATGAAGAAAATCCCTCTTTAGAGATTGGAACCTACAGAACCAATTTCATCTGGTTATTTCTAAACATAAGGTTAGTGAAAAGTATTCAAAGAGAAAAAGCCTAATTATGTTACCAAAGCAGTTTTATTATTATATTATTATTATTTAACAAAAAGCTGAAAAGCAAAACATTGAAATAAATGTTTTGTTGTCTCTCCCACAGTATAATGTTTCAAAAAAATTAAAATGACTTGCAAAGCCATTAAAATAATCATTACTGATATGCATTTATCATAATGTTAATATAACACAATATGCATGTTATTATAGGCCAGTATTATAAGCAACACTGTTTGATACAATATGTACCAGAGGTTCTCTATGCACCAAGGTATCCTTAGCCTGAAGTGTTTCAGTGTGTAAGTATTACACAAACATAGTTTAATACAGAAACATAATGCTATTAAAAATGAAAATGATGCAATATGACCCATTTTAATGT